TTTAGTTTTGAAGTAAATTTTTCAAGCTGTAGAACCGAGATATTAACAAGCTTTATTAGGCTGACGTTTCGGTGCTTTCACCTTCCTCGGAGCCTGGAAAGACAAAAGGCACTTGAGAAACCATCCGATCATGCACTATTTCAACCTACAAAGAAAGTTCAAAGGGCGTGGGCTACGAGGAAGTCAAAGTTGGTAACTAACCTCTGGGATAGTCGACCTTTGGGGGTCCACCGATCACCCTAAGCTGGTGTAGCTGCGGTTTAAATAGGGGTGAGCCTCAGGTCAACTTGCTTCAGGGGCCTCCAAGAGAATGATCACATAGATCAAACTCCCTCAAAAAGCCACACAAGGCTGAGCGCGCCGCTGACCCCTTCCCAATCAACTCCTATCGATTACTGTATAAGCCCCCGACCCCGCCCCGCCGAGAGGACCCCGTGGGGGATCGACAGCGTAGGTCAAAACCCCCATAGTGCTGTAAAGGGCGCCAGCTCTGTGGTAACCGCCATCCGATTATCTTTATAGCATGACCACCTCGAGCCTGTCCTGCTGTGTGCTGCAAGCGAATGTTGTTTGAATTTGGTCTTCTTATAAAGAAGCATAATAGAGAATAAGAGGATATCTCTCCCTCGGCTACCGATGTGGTTACTCATTAGAAAAGTTGTGGTGATTTGTAAGCTCCCAATTCTTCCGGGAGGATGCTATGTTTCTGTGGAATCCTAACCTTGTAGATTCCTTTCTTATAGTATGAGAAGTCCTCGTAAACAGTGAATGCGCTGACAACAGGTCCATTCTTCATGATTTCTCTCTGGATAGCTTTGACCGAATGCGGTACCTCGTAAGCGTCCTCGCCTGAAGTTGAACCTATACAGTGCTTCAACAGTAAACGCTTTTTCGTTTTCCAGTCTTCCCATTATAAGGATTCCCTTTTTGCACAAGTACACTCTTGTGTTTGAAACTCATTTTGTTCCGAACGCAGGAAATCTTTCTATAGTTACATTCCAACGAGGAAGCTTTAGGACACAAGAGATGTCCTAGAGTGTTTAATTTACTTTTAAGACAGTCTCAGTGAAACCCTGATGTAGGAAAATTGAGCAAGGAATGTCTTACATGGTAAAAGTTCTATGAAATGCATGAGTGTGGCACCCGCTCCACATTAAATTTCCTCTCTTTTATGTGGAAAATTTAAACAAGTCTCCTACGCTGTGTAAGAGCAATACACACACTTTCATTCTTTGGAAAGCTCCGTATAATACTTCAAAAAAACTGCAAAAAAGGGGCTGTACGAGGGTACGACTGCAGCAGTGGTATGAAAGGTGTAGTTGGAGGGGCTACCAGTTTATGATATTGCGTAGAGCTGGCTACGGTAAGCCCAGGATGCTAAAAATTGCCTTTCTCTGTCCTTATCGGTTACGACTAGATGTTTAAGTAGCCAATTGTTGTGGGCTCCATTGTGAATGTTGCGGCCCTCGTAACGTCATAGGAATATGTCCGACTTCAAGTGTGGACGTCTGCAAAGCTTATCATCGGATCCCCAGTACGCCCTATCTAAATATTTTGAATCGGCAGGGTTCATGTGGCATACATGGAAGTCACAGGTCCGATCTAATTGGAAATATCGGAAATTCTCACCGATAATTATGTCTCTAACTCGGAAGAATTATGTATACCGTAAGACTTGTCCATATAGTATGCTTGCTTGTAATTCCTTTGACATCTCCTCCTACATTTTGGAGTTTTTGCTACTTTCGAACATTCTCCGTAATACGTATCGTTCCCATGATGTCCACATGGATGGAACGGGTAAGGGCGGCAACCGTCCTAAGAGTAACTTCACGATAGGAATTTCGTGTAGAAAAAGATCTCATGACTACCTTGGCACCGTAGTCTCCTCCGGTAACGGCACCTTCATATGTGTAAAAGTCGAAGGCTGCAATTGGCCATCCACCGTCACATCTGAAACGCTATATTATGTTACCTTTGAGGGAGAGTGCTCTCCCAATTCAGTTGGAAAGCGGCAATGGGAAAACTGTTCATTTTTTTGAGTTGGGTCCCGACTACTCAATGTGATCTCGAAAATATCCTTCAATCAATCAATGTCCAATTTTTGAGTCAGACATAAGGTTTTTCAAGACCAGACCAGAAAGGTTTGTCGGATCACTGCGGTAATTCATTCTTAAACCTTCCGCTTGCTGTCAAGGAAAGCCAACACTAAGTTCTCTATGCAGGTATGCTAGAAATTGTGGCATTTTTTTGGAGTATATTTTTAGAAGATAAAAATCTTACCCAAAACCGCACGAATTACAGCATGACACGAAGTCGATCGACGAGATATGCATCTAAAATTCTTGCATTACTATAGATCGGCATAAGTTCTTAGTTCTACCTGCATTTCTCCATTGCTTGCAATACAAATACGATCTGAAAGGGCGGACGCCGTCGAAACAGCCCAGCACGATCCTGAAAATTCCACGTTCCGCTCCACTATCTATCTACATAATCGTTCTGTCTTGTAACTGTTTGGTAACGGATCAAAGGTGTTGCTCACCGCAGTTGGCTTGGTCTCGGATATGTGTGAGCGAACTGCAGTTAGGCCAGTGAGTTCGAGCGTCGAAACTGCAAATAAGTGTTCACCGTTGTCGCATCAGATAGGTCAGAGTCATTATTTCGTCAACATATCATCCAGTATGCAGAGTATTTTCAAGTTACGATTTTTGCGAGAGTTTTTCATTTTTTGAACTTACAGATATTTCTAGCTGATGCATTTTTACTTACATACAGTAGCGCTCAAAAGTATTCAGCCAACTTTAACTTTTTTCTCAGTATAGCAAATCGCACGAAATTCTGATATGTTTACTGAAGCATATTCCACACTATTTAATATATTTGACTGCAAAGCAGCAATGCCCACATAATCAAGGGGAAGGCGTTTGTAGACTAACCTGAAAGCAAGTCTGTGACGTATGCAGTTACCCTATTTGCGTTTTTCTCCTCTTCTGTGTCCCGCATTAGCGCTCGTACACTTTTGACATTTCAGAAAGGGAAGAAATCCTAGAAGCGCCAATGCCTTAATTTCAGTTGCTTTTGATTTCAAGCTCTTTGGGATATTTGGAGCATGATCAAAGTGCAGGTTAATAGTGATAAATATTCACACTACACCAATGCTACACATATTGGAATTTCGCTTGATTAGATGTAGTAGGAAATGAGTTATCACTGGAAAGTACGAGTGAAGAAGCATTTGACCGCATACTTTTAAATACTACTGTATATTTGAGGAACATTGCAGTGGTAATGTAGGTAGTTTTTTAGTAGGATGGCTGACCTTTCTGGGATGTCGTCGCCCTCGTCGTCCTCATTTTCAACAACAGGCTTCCTATTCTGGTTGACGAATCTCAGATCCATTAATTTGTGCTGCACATTGTAACAGTGTGGTGTTATTTCAGCCTGCAAACAGACATTGAGTGGACTTCGGTGTTGGATTTCGTGTACCAAGACGTTACCTCAAAG